TATCGTCGAAAAAAAATTATGCCGGGTATTCATCGGAAAATTTTAAATTCCACCGGTAATGAGTGATTTTCCTATAGTGATTTATATTATAACTCTGCTTGAGGTGGATTTGCGGTGGCAATTTCTGCTGCCAAAATCCACCACAAATCCGCAAAAAAAAAAAATCAAAATCAAAATTTTGTCGCAAATTAGTCGTCATTTTCAAAAAGAAATAATCCGCACAAACTGATGATTTTCCTGTAGTGTTTCTGACTGTATTTCTTGCAACTTGTTCTCATTCTAATAATTTTTTGAGTTTTCATTTTGCATGACTCTCCGTTCCTTGCTATGTTTTTTTCCTTCGATGATACTATGAGACTCGCAAGTGGCCTTCGATTTTTGCATCTTTCTTATTTTGCAGGTTAGTATGTTGATGTCTAATTAGGCCTTATACTAATCGTGCTAGAGCTTGTTTTTGGGTGGGGGTTTCCTGTCTCCCCTTCGATTTTAATTTCTTATATTGTATCTTAGTAGGAACATGTCATGTGCATAATCTAATTTGTAAATAAAGCTTATTCTCTCTCATGCATAACATTTATAATGAATATATTGTTTAATCTAACTAACACTAACAGAAACCACTGACAATTAACAGCTACTGATAATAATTTCAGGAATTATGTCTAAGATTGGGTGGCTTTCTAATAGTGATATGAAATAAATAAAAATGATTATTTTATTTGAACAACTCAAATTAGCGGCTTAATAGTTTTTTAGCAAATAGCTTAACCTCTCACAACACCTACGTCTCAATTTGTCATTATTTAGCTACAGTATTATTGTGATGAAGGTGCGGTGCAACGGTATGAAGATAACTGTTTGAAGAGATTGTCTTATAAATTTTTTGAAATAAATATCATTATATATTTTTTATGATTATAAAATAATAAACAAATTCCAATAAGCTTAAAAATAATTAAAATAATTTATTTATTTATCAATATCTTAAAAATATTTTTTGGGAAGCTAAATAAATCATCGTTCCAATCATAAACTGCTGCAGTTAAGTGGTATCAAACATTAGAAAACTAGATTTTTTTTTTTTAATTTGCCTCATTGGATTGGGAAAATAATAAAGATTTTGAATGATAAATTACATTTAGAAATTTCTCACGTAATTTTACAACAGAAGCAATGACAAGTAATAAAAAAAAAAAGATAAAGTCATTTATTAAAAATACATGACAATATATTTTGTTATTTGACGCAATGCGTTTGAATATTCTTTTATATATATATACATAATATTTTAAAATTTTAGTCATTATCTTTACTCCTGAAGTGGAAAGCTCCTGGCGGTTTAGTCATTATCAAACCAAATTCTATTTTTACTTGTCTCATTCAAAAATAAATATTTTTTGGAAGGATATTTAGATTGATTAAGATAAATTCACAAATATTAAGGTTTCATTTGGGGCAGCTTTCTTATTATTTTTTAAAACAACATTTTAGTACAAAATTTTTTATTTTCGTACTAAAAATTTGCTTTAATAAGCAGTAAAAAAGTCGTCTCAAACAAAACCTATGTATACAAGGCTCAAGTTCAAGATTTAACTTTTTGGTTGATAGTCAAAACTCCTAATAAATAAATCAAGGTGAGCTACATGAATTTATTAACAAAAAGTTATTTAATTTTTTTTGAAATATTTAGATTAATTAAGATAAATTTATACATATATCACAGACATAAATTTCAAATTCAGAATATCTTAATTGATAGTCAAAACTCTCAATAAACAGATAAATGAGCGCATCATTCTAAAAGAGCTGCTTACGATGCTAAGCAATTCAAATTTGCCGACACGACTAATACAAAAAAATGAGCCGTTGAAATTTCACCACCAACTACAATTGGCAGGTCAAACTATTAAGGTGTCCATGTGCCTGCACGGTGACGCATTTTAGGATTAAAAATAAGGCTTGAATTGCCGTGCATTTCCCTTTATTGGAGTTTTATTTTTTTATTTTTTTGAGAGAAGTCAGATATGATTTTAGATTAAATTAAAGCAAATCAAAGAAGGATAAAGACATGCATCCAAAAGAAGAAGTTTAGTTTATTAACAATTAAAACTTAGGATCTCAAAAGTTTGTAACTCAGATCTAAAAGGAACAAGATTATAGAAGTAAAATAAAGAGGTATAAAATCAATGTAACATGTAGACCTCTTTATAGGTTATAAAAAAAAATTTATAGAAGTAAAGCGAGACAACAAAGGAGCAACCGGAGAATAACATTAAAGAGCTCATCATAATATTGAGCTCACATGATTTTTGAATTGAGCACATTAGAAATAATGTAAGGACCAATGTGTTTGAAATTAATGCAAAATTAGTTTAACATTTAAGTGTTATTAAAATCATTGTATTCAATATCTATATATTTTGTTTTTTATTTTCTTATGGCATTGACATTACTTTTTGTGAGATCATTATGTGTTGCTTGTTCTATTTTTTTGCTCTACTTGTTATTTAACTCTCTTTATTTTTATTAATAATATTATAATTTTTGCCAAAAAAAAAAAAAGACCAACGCTCCCTATCTATATAAATGGGTGTTTGAGAAGAATTTTAAAAATGTAATAATTATATTTTGTCTGGTATAGGAGGGATTTATAATTATAGAGAGTAACTCTATGGAACATAGAGATGGAGAGAGAGGAGGTTTAAGATAAGGGAGTGTCATCCCCCTTTTATTTTGTCTACTTTCTTGATATAATGTAGTTGCACATTTATTATTTGATATATTTTTATATATAACACTTAAAAGTTTCTTATTTACTCACCTAACATCTAAAGTTTTCTAATTACACACCTACCACTTAAAACCTACTTGACTTTCTAAAATACCTTTTCGTCTTCTCTCAGTCACATGAAACTCATTTTCCATTCCTCTTGTTTGAGCGGTTCATTTGGCGTTTGCTCATCTTCTTCATTCCGTCGAACTAAGATCTCATTTTTGTTGAAAACGCCACCCACCTTCTCCATTTTGAGCGAACATCCGGATGGAGTAGAATTGCTCGATGTGTGGCGTGAGCTTCAGTAAACGGCCTCCCGTCTGCTCGTCCTTGATCTGTCGTTCCAGAAAACCTCATTGGGGTAAAAGCTTTATACGTCTTCGGTCTCCCGTCCAAAGAGATTTTGACATCAAATGGTTCTACATAAATTATTCTGCTTATGTAATCCAGTTATTCACACAATTGCTTCTCTTTTGTAATTCTGGTGCACAACAGATATTTTGACATCAGTTCGTTCTGCAGAAATTAGACAAATACATAAGTTTTGAGATGATTTTAATCATCAGAAACAATTAATTCCACCTGCATCATTTTACAAATCAGTTTTTAGATCATTTTTGCATTCACGATTAGAAGATCAAAATCACATCCACCTACAGATTTGGTGTATATCCAAAATGCCAATTTGACAACAATGTGCTCTTACCAATTCACTTAAGAACTAAATTAACTGAAACACAAGACCTGCACAGAATCAGATACCGAAACTGAGATTTACCAAGCGAAGAAGAAATGTAGAAGACGAAACGAAGATGCCGAGATTTCAAACTGAGATTCTTACATATTTCTCAAAAAAATTTTTTTTTTTGAGGAACTGCCAATGCGGAAGAACGAACTCTAAACGGAGAAATGGGGATAACATTGTTCAAATCTAAACGGAGAAATGGAGAATACAACATCATACCTAAGACAAGAAATGTATAAGACGAAACGAAGATGCCGAGCGAAGAGAGAACCCTAGACGAAGAAATGGGAAGACCGAATGGGAGAGTTGCCAAGCAAAAAATCCAACGTCGTGCGGGTTCTGATGGAAGGAAGACGGAATGAAATTTTAGAAAGGCAAGTAGTTTTTAAGTGGTAGGTGTGTAAATAGACAACTTTAGGTGTTAGATGAGTAAATAAGAAACTGACCATTACAATTTTCTTACCAGCCGACTTGCCCCCAAAAGACTCTCTTTTACTATGCATCTAAACGATGACCTTGGAGCTTTAAGAGTTTTTTTATTATTGGTACACCCTGATTTAAACTTCCTAATAAAGTTAAAGTAAATTCTATAAAAGCCTAATTTATAAGCCATCATTATTATTATAATGATCTTAAAGAGATAATCATCTTCTCAAAATTGAAAGCCTACCATCAACAACTTTTTAATGTTACTGTGATGCATATATGACTTTATTTCAAAGGTCATTTGTAGCATCAAATTAATCTTGCAAAGATGAGTATTTTAACACAAAGATTATAACAGATAATTTTCATCTTCTAATTTTCTTCTTCAACATTCTTAGAATTATTTCTATTGCCTTATTTTCTAAAATTTTGATTTATAGCTTAGATGAGGCTTTTAACATCTTTAGCTTCAAAATAGTACCCTCTACTGATTAATCCAAGACTTTAATGGTTGCACTGACCAATAAAACATCAATCATAGCTAATGGTCGAGCACTCAAATTAACCCTACCATAAACAAACCCATTTGGTGAGCCCATGAGCAGGATCATTTAGGTACTTTCAAAGTAGAATAAATAATTTAAACTATAGAATATATGCTAATTTAATTTAATATATTTTTGTTAATAAAAAGGCTAGAATGTCCTCTAAAAACTATTCATTAAATATAATCCTACACTTTAAGGACATCTACAATTAAATAAAATTCTTAGTATCATAGAGAATTTTATAGCTTTTTTCTTGTTTGACCTTCATCGACTCTAGGTTGACTTACTCTCCCCTCTTCAACAAAAAGAGGGAAATAAGATTGAAGCAATTAGATTATACAGAATTAGAGAGGTTCAACCTTAACTTATAAAATGAGATGATTGACAGTAATTTTCTTTATATATAGGATCCTCTTTGCTTATAACAAGTCACACAGTACTACCTCCTTCTTAGAAAATGATCATCCCAAACATCTACAATTATTTGTTGACTCCGGATGAACATAGCCCAGTTGATCATAGGAGTACTACAAGATTTCAAGTTTTTTTTTTTTCAAAACTATGAGTCTCCTATTTCAAATTTGAATGGAATTGAAAAGCACCCAATAGAGCTCACTTTTATTTCATTTATCAAGTTCTTCGAGACGTTTTTTTCCTGTATGAATCGCAACCACAATACAAATTAGCTGCTGCACTTTCTTCTTCATTTGACATAATATTACAGCCATGGCTCCCAATTCATTCCCAAAAGAAGGAAGCTTTGGCTTCCAACCTCCTTTTGGAAAGTAATGCCTATAAAAAGGGCACGGCTGGAAGAGTGCCTTACAGGCCGACAGGACCCATCTAAAAGTAAGGTATGATGCCTCCCTGCACTGAATCATATCAAGAAACTACAGGTCAAAAGTCAATTTCATTTAATCCACTGCTTCTCACACCTTCTTGTTTGTGATAAACACAAACTGTCAGATTCCTCAGTAATGGGAAGAGCATTCATATCCATCGAGACTTAGGGTGGTTGGTGGGCGAGCACTGTTGGAAACCTCCCGGATTTGAATCTTCTCTACTATGACCTCGCCTCTTCAGTGGGGCAAAGCAAGTGTGAGATTGATATCGGTGGGTGGCCTCGCTCGATTCTGCTGATAGATAGTTACGTCACCATGCTCTCCCTTTGAAATGGTAGTGGATAGATTCTCCAGTTCCAAAAAAAAAAAGAGCATTCATCACATGGTGCTATATTTGCTGAATAATTTCTGCAAAAATTCCATCAATTTGATGTGGCGATAGCAACATGACATTTATGTCTTCCATTCAATTACAGCCAAGCAATTTGGTTTCCTTTTTCAGGTGGAAAACTTTGGCTAAATTAACTCTGGATTGAAAATTTTGGGCCACTTGAGGGAACACAATGATTGACATTTTTGGCAATAGAATCTTCAGCCTCTCGACTATTATTCATAAAGAGAACTTTCAACGGAAAGATAAAATTATTTGTAGAAAGTATTTTAGAAGCTATCCTCATACTTTTAGCACATTTAATTATCTCCTTCAAGTTAACTTTGATTTGTGGGTATGGCAGACTATCTGCTATTTCGGTTTCTCCTCGACTGCCTGCGATTGTGCTTCCTCTGTCGGCTGCATTCTCTGTCTCTCTATTGGCTGCTTCATGGTATCGATTTTTTCTGCTTTATCTGTTTATTTGGCCTTAGGTTTTGGTTTAATTTGTGATGAAGGTGGTGTGACAGATTTTATGGCTGCTCGTATCTTATTGTTCGTGGCTTAATTTCTTCTTCTCATTTTTTTTTCATCCTTTCATATACAAGAGATTGCTTTTGGTTTGGACTTGCAGGGATTCATCCTGGTTTTCGATTTTTGTGGTAAGTAGGGCTGCTTTTCTTTTTATTTTTTTTTGGGAAAATTTGGGGCAAATTATCCATTCTATAAAAATGAAAAAGATTACAAGTAAAAGGTGTTGAAAACAAAACAGCCAGCTCACATGCTAAACAACATAAAAAATGTTAGCAGTGAGAAAAAATGAAATAGGAACAAAAGGAAGAAGAGAGAAAACATGGGCTAATGGACTCAGAATGCATAAAAAAGAATCTCCCACAGAAAATTGAGCATCAAAATGCTCCCGGTTGCCAGGAAAGACCATCCAAAGGAGCAGCTGGGGGACCAACATTCATCATAGTCCATCAAAACAACTATGTTCGAACCTTGCAGCCGGCTGATACCTTGGTTGCCAACAAGGACTCTCCAAAGGGTATCAGAAAAACCAACAGAGAAAAGAATCAATCCAAAAACCGAATGAATGAGCCCAGCCATAAGAAACAGAATCATACATAGAGAAGGGGGAAAAAGCATTCAGCACAGCAGGTGTTGAAAAAGATGAAAACTCTTCCATTTGGTAGCTTTAAAGATCACTGCTTTCTTAATTTTGTCCACAATGTTCAAGTGGTTCATAAAGGAATTGCCAAATAACCTACCATTCTTTTTCCTGCAAATAAAATAAATGACAGCGCAATTCGAAAGGAAGTAAAAATTTTTAATTTGTTTGCAAATGTTCCTTTCTTCAAGATGTGAAAATAACTGGTTGAGAGTCGGTCTCAGCAATAACAAATCCATTTGGTGAATGATATTTTGCAGAATAGCATATGAGAAATCGCATTGAAAGAACAGGTGTGAGTGTGATTCAGGCTCAACAGAGCAAATAATACACCTGGAGGCAACCGGGATCCCTCTCTTAATAAGCAAGTCAGAAGTTTTAAGACCTCGTTTAAGAGCCCTTCTTTTCCCCTCTCTGCTCGAATGAATGCCATGAAATGCCAAAACAGTGAAGAAATCGATCATATACAGCCAATACAGGCAGGAGGGAGTCAGAAACACTAAAGCAGTTGCCATTGAATGCAAAACAACAATTAATAAAGAAACTGCTGCAGTAAACATCAACTCTTCCTGGAGGAAGACATATTTAAGAGCTCTCATGTAGTAGAAACACTTTCAATAATATTGCCAAACCTTCTCCCATTTCTATCCCTCCAAATGTAGTAAAGGGAGCAAGAAATAGCCGGAAAAAAGATTTTTTTTTTTTTAATTACGAGCCTCAGCTCAAATTTGTGAGACGATTCACTGGCATGTGAAGGATATATGTGAGTTAGACCAGTGAGGGTAGTAAAAGATTATTTAGGATATATGTGAGAGAGAATCCAAAAAAAATGGAAAACGAGCTAGGATGGCCATGAGATTTCAACAAAAGAGAAGAATTGAAGCCACCTCCATGATGGTCTTCATAAAAGACTGAAAATTTGAAAGAACCGAGGATGCTAATGTAGGACCTTCTGGAAAGACAAACACCTTCAATTGCTTTCAACAGACATTCACAAAAAAATTCTTGAAGGCCACGAACAAAAGAGAAGAAAAAGAAAAGGAAAAAAGATATGTTTGTATTATTATTTTCTTTCTCTTGTTTTCTTTTAACATAAAGGAAGAGAAAGAACTAGAACTCAAAATCCACCTCTCCATATACAAGACATCCATATATAAAAGAAACAGAGAATTTACAAAGAATCAGTAATTCTTATAAATTTTGTGCTGGAGTCTCCTTGTTATCAATGAAATTCATCTATGATATCATTAAAAATTCTCCTTGACCGGGCATGAATCTCTTGACGCAAATAAGTTGGAAGCTTTAAAAATTAAATTCAGGATAATCCAAACTCATATTTCATTAAGCTTATAGCCAAATTGAATATCTCAAGGAACAGACTCAACGATAATAAATTTGGTCAAATCCAAGCCTAAATAAACTCAAATCAATGGATCAAAATCTATTTGAAAGCTTCAAAACATTAATTAGATGACCAGATGAAATCCAAGTATGACATATTTATAGTCAAATTGAGTGGCTCGACGAGAAAAATCCAACAAGCCCAAAATCACTAATTTAAGACATCTCTAAGGCATTTAAATGATTGATAAATGATTCATGATCAAGGGCATGGTGAAAGCTTATGAAATTAGGAGGTAATACATTTTTGACATATTTATGAGAAATAAAATTTGTAGAAATCAAAATCATTGAAAATAAAATAATAGTCACTTATAATGAATTAAATAAAATTTGTAATAAGAATGACTAATAAATGTGATCCAAAGACATTTTTGCCCATATCTCTTCTTCCTCACATTAAATTTCTTAGCCAAACAAACAAGTGAGGGAATCGGTGAGGTAAGACAGGGGTATATATATATTTTATGGTCCAGCACCGTAATGCTCACAAGATCAATATTAAAGCACTCTTCTTCAGATTTTTTTTTTTAATTTTTAAATAAATTTATTTCATATATTTAAGTTATTACAATATATCTCAAACAAACTTAAGATAAGGCTCAACTTCAACACAATTTAGTACTGTGTACAACATGACAACTCTCATATCCTTATCTATCAAATAGAAAAGAGTGCAAGTGCCTACTTGCTCGCCACATCCGTTGAATAATAATATATTACTGGTAGATTGACTTATATGTGGATTACCAAAATTTTGAAGTATATTCCTTAGTGATTGTAACTCTTGGTCGAAGTAGTACGAACAAAATTGATTAGTCTTATACATCATGTATGCTTTATAAATTAATCTTTTAGGATGTGCTTTATTCTTTACAGTCTTCTTAATTTTATTTAAATGCCTGAATGATGTATGATTATGAATTAAAACTTACTAATAATATTATATATGCTATATTTGCAAAAAAAAAAATCTCTTAAAAGAATACATCTATCGATATTGAACAGGTCCGTCAACTCTAATCTAATATGGTAAATGCACGGGGAGATGCTCTATGGAGTCAAAAAATCATAGAGGAAATATTTTCTCAAACATGCATGTATAGAATGAAAGAAATATTATACTCCATACACACCAAGGTAATTTCATTCAATCTTAATGAGTACAAATCCTTGAAGAAGATACTTAGTTCGATCAAGAGATTTAAAATAAGCTACACAAAATATATAGAATCTACAAGGGTTACATTAGTTGGCATAATCTTTCGAGTTGAGATGCCTTATGTATAAAGTTTGCTGTCCTAAATGGAGGGGTAATAACTAAGTATGAGTGCCATTAGTACGAAGCGATGCCTAGTATAAGGTTCATCTACTAACTTTTCTCCTTTAGCCTAACAATTTTACAATCTTTCAACTTAAGGCTTGTTGACATGACATAAATGTTTGGGTATACATTAGTTAAGTGCCCGGGTAGGCATAATATAATAATGAAAAAAATATTAAGGTGTTAGTAGGCAAGAAAATGGCACATAATGTTTGAAAAAAAAAAGTATTATGTTTAGCATGAGAGTTAGTGACATGAAGCCAACTGGTTAGATGAGTCGACAAGTGAATTAGATCATCTAGACAATGTGTTTGATATGGTTGTGTGATAATAACTAGAAGCTAATCTAAGAAATCCAATAAGAGAGGAATTACATTAAAAATGAATTGATGCTGTAAACATAGGTAATTTCATTGATAAAAGTTGGTGGAGATTGGTTATAGAGTCCCTGGGTTGGTCGACAAGAAGCCATGGAGATGCCACTCAAAGGGGTGGGAGGTAAACAAATAGCATGTGGAGATAACAATTTCATTTTAGATTAAAGGACTTGAGACATAGGGGTGTCAATTTTGGGTCACGGGTTGGGTTTGAGTCGAACCCGGAACTGACCCGGGTTCAAACGGGTCGACCCTAACCTGACCCGAGTAGGTAAACGGGTTGACCCGACCAGACACAGCGGGTTGCCGGGTTGACTTGACCCGACAGGAACAGATGCGTGGGGCGGTGCGCGGACACTAGTGAGCGGCGGGCGCTGCAGCGCGGGTCGCATGAGCCAGCACGGTCGCGGGCAGCCCAGGGGCGCGCGGGCAGCAACCGGACAGTCGTCATTTTAAACGGGTTTCCGGGTTGACCCGGCAACCCGTCGGGTCAAACCGAACCGACCCGTTTTTCAAACGGGTCGAATCTGCGAACCTGAACCCGTTCGGGTCGGATTTTCATGTCGTGTCAAATATTGACACCCCTATTGAGACATATTAGTCTTTCTTTTATCCTAGATAATTAGAAGCCATGTATAAGCTCTTGATTTAGTGTGAAAACATTTGCCTTACAACTAAATATTTTAATATTAATTTTTTATCGGCATCTGTTACATCAAAATTTGAGTATAAATTTAGCAATCATTATTGATCGTCCTAGGACGAAGTAGAAATACAACAAAAAAAATGTAATAATTGAGTTCATTTTTTTCTCATAAATATGGTGAATATATATAAGTGATTAATTTAGAGCTACTAAAATTTGTAAAAGATAGCTTAGTGGTGGCAAAATTTGTTTGCAATTGGATGTTAATGATCATTAATGTGATCGAATTTATTATTTAGAAACTTATATATTTAGGTTGCACACCTATATTGTTATACACTGAAGACTTTTATTGTAATATTAAAATTAAAATCGTTTGCCATTTTTTATTGTACCAATAATTATTAAATACTTATTATACACATATTTATATTTCTAAAAAAAAAATCATTTTTTGAATTTTTGTTATTAAATAGAGGGATTTAAATACATAATAGATCATGAGAGACCATGCGATGGTAGGGGTTACCAAAATTAAAAAAATGATTTCCTGAATAAATATGAATTGGATCGTTATATTCATTTATAAAAGCAAAAAAAAATCTGGATTTGAAAAATTAAATTGGAACTTTTTTAATTTAATTTTCTTTGTAAATAAATATTCTTAAAATAAGAAAAAAAAAACTTCTGAAATATTGATTGAAATTGTAAATCTTCTTCTGATCGACAAATGTCGATTGAGACTGTAAGCCTTCTTCTTCTAATCGCCTTATCAAATATATTTTATTGAGAGGACAGCTTCAGTCAATTATTGATGAACACTCTTTTTTTTTAATGTAATTGTCAATTTGTGTTCTCAACATAATATATCCTTAAAAAAAAAGTTTTATGTAAAACTTGATTCATTATTTTATAAGAAAAGTTTACATCTTTTTAAATTGTACACTTTTTTCATAAGCATATTTTTGTAATTCAAGAAGTAACTTTTTACATTACAGGTCATCATCTCTATTTTTTAAAGATACATCATCATCTTTACCTTTTAATATTAAAACATATTTATCATGACACAATCATTTCAAGAAGTTGTATACAATATTAAAAAAATATTCTTATAACATAAATGTGTTATTAATGTAATCATAATTTAACATTTATATCATGTTAAAATTTCAATAATATTGTACAATTAATATATAAGGTGATAAAGAAAGGATTTATTAAGTTATAATTCAAGCTCCAATAAAGTTGATCATTAATTTAACTCTTAAACTAATAAATCAAATTAATAATTTCAATATTATTCCACTATAAATATAAAATTACCCTCTTGAATTTATAACATAAATTACTCAATTTAAAAAATTGAATTGTCTATTGATTTAATCATTGCATATAAAGTAATCATCCATAAAAAATTCATAATTAGAGCTAGGTAATTCTGTCACCTCATTAATTTGATCCTTGAATTCTAATTACTTCTTTAATGAACAATAAATCTTGTGACCTTACCACAAAAATTGAACGCTCAATTTTTCAAGTTTTGAATTCATTATTCAAGCAAACTAAATTTTTAACTTTCAAAATTAAAATGAATTGAAATATTAGTTAATTAACACTCAATTTTTCAAAATTTTCAAGTTTTGAACGCTCCAATAAGTATTCACAACTATTTATTTCATTGAGTTTCTAATATACAAGGAATGAGTTTATATCTTTCAAATTATTTACCAGTAAACAAAGAAATCAAATATCATAAATAGGAATTTATTAATAATTCATATTTATATATAACTATCTTGATGATTAATTTTAAAATCTCTCTAGTTAAAAAAAAATAGCAAATTTAAAATTTATCTGATTCAGCTATATATATATATATATATAGAATTTTAAAATCTCTAAATAAAACATAATTATTTAAGCATGTTAAATTTGTATTTAAATATTTATTTCAAAAGAAAATATATTACAATAAAATATCCATACATCACACTCCTCTAAGAAAGTGTCGTTTAAACACTCTTCCTCCAATGTTGAGAAATTTCTATATGTGAGCTCATATACATATACATATACATATAAATAAAATTTTATACATTAAAAGCTATCTAAAAATTAAGTCAATTAAATTCGTGATTTATTTAAGCATTAAATTAATATTTGGCTTATGTATCATCTCAATTAAAATTATATGGAATTAATTTGTGTAGAGGTAAAGTATTTATTTTATTTTAATGATAGGCTGAAATAAAATATTTACAATTAAAGTATAAAATGGTCGTAGTCCCCAGTTTAAGCAGTTAAATTCTCATTTGTCTCCTTTCCTATCTTGAGTGAAAAAAAAGTCTCTCACTCTTTTGAAGAACATCGCTCTAAACATGGAAGACCAAAAACCTCAATTATGCATTTCAATAGATTCCTGTACGCTTTCAAAAATTCTTTTAAAAAATTTGGCATGTCTTTCGAAGACGATCGAATTATTTTTCGTCTCCTAATCCTAACATCCAACGCTACCGAGCAATACAATTAAAGTAACTTATCTCAAAAAACTAGAGTCAAACCAGTTAGTTGGGATGGTCGGCAGCAAATTGCAGTGAGGGGCGGGGTGATGAGTTGCCTCTTTTCTTCTTCGTAAGAAGTCCAAAGTCGGTTTAACGAACATAAAGAACAGGAAAAATCCCCATGGCATGGTATTCCAGTCAAAGAAGCCTGCCTATTCTCCTAAATGAAATAGACTGTAAAATAAAAAAATAAGTATATTAATTAACTAATTGAACCTGTACATCTCCTATATCTCTTCGATCGTCAGTAAAGAGATGGGTAACAGTTATTTACACCAAGATATATATAAATATATAACAGTTCTAAAATTTTATCTGATTAAAAAATCTCTTGACGCTATATTTTTCCAATTAAAAAAGTGATTAATTAGACCTTTAGGAAAAACTCATAGCGGGAATGTACTGATTCGCGGAGGCCGCATTCCCTTATCCGGATCTCAATGCTCTCCCCATCCGTCTTTCGCCGCGCGTCGCAGCATTGCCGCCTCGGTGCCTGCCATGTACCAACAATAATCGTTTATAAGCACTTTCGTTGTAAACATGGAAGGTATACATTACGGTACCAACCTTCTGCCAGACTTTTGGATCCATCCTTTGAGCGAAGACCCGCACTCTCTCCACCCTAGCGGCCGCGCGGAAGCCCGGCTCATCGCACTCCTTGTTCTCGTCTCCCCAGCCGAAGCTCTTATATTCCGTCACCGTCCCGTTACTCCCGTCGGCAACTCTGTCAAGGAAAAACCGTAATGGACGCTTGCAGGGCAAGTCTGGCGGCGCTAGCTCCCTCGTGTTGAAACCAAAGGGCCCTTTCCTGAAGCTTCGCCATGTCTTGAAGGTCCGGAACGGCACTTCCAACTGATTGGGCTCTACAATCCATGGATAAAGCTGGACCGTGTACCCCCATGAGACGGACACCGACCAATTGAGGGCGGGCGATGAGCGGCCGGTGAGGTAGCAGATGCTCTGCTGCAGTGTGCGAGCAGGGTCGGTGCGAGCGGCGTTGAAGAGGGTGCGGAGGGCATCTAGTTGGGAGGGGAAGAGCGGCGATATGGGATGAACAAAATCAATGTGGTGGAGGGATACCAGCGGCGCTACCGGGTGCGCCGCTAACATTCCATAAACGTCGCGGCGGAGGTCAACCTGCCATTGTAAATGTCGTGAGTTCAGCGAAATTTCGAGTTCGGTATAGGCTGTACGTATAGCAAAATCATTTTTTTCTGAGTTTTCTAGGGAAGATGTGGGTCTGAATGTTTTATCAAGTACAAGTATTTTTTATTTAAACTAATCCGGGAAATAAACAGCCGCAGTACCATTTCATAAATCTGTGTAGTCTTCATAGGCTATTATAAAATTTTAACTATTTTTTATACTTGCTTAAAATCCAAAAAAAAAAAAATGTTTCTCATATGAATTAAAGCAGCAGATGCAGCAATATAGCTCGGCATGCAAAATAAGTACATTGCAATACACAGCTCATCTTAGTCTGTTGGTTGAGAGCTTAGGCTTCCAACTAAGAGGTATTGAGTTCGAGTCTTTGTGTATGCGTTGTGTGTGTGAATTTGCCTTAAATGAGCTAAATGTCAAAAAAAAAAAACATTGCAAAGAGAATGAAGGCTACAAGTAGACAACATCTGAAAGGAAAAGACTAAAAAGCTAACATCACAAAATAATTTCTCCCAAAAGAGAGAGGCAGCACAGCCCGCACAAAAAACCATTTCAATTTTACTCATAGTCTTACAATTTTTTTAATATATTTATTATTTTGAGAAACTATCATTTTATTCAATTTATATGCAAAAAATCCACATAATATCTTATTTAACTAATTTTTTATTTCCTTCTTTAATTTCAAAATATATAAATATAGAAAATTATTAAAAATTATGGAAAAAGTCATTAAAAATAGTAAATTAACATTTAATCTAAATTTAATAAATTAGTTTTTGAAATATAAAACGAAAATGTTTAAAAACTTAAATAAAGAAATGCCAAATGAGTAAATGTTGAACATTCAGATTTGTACAGGTACTAGTCAAATTTATAATAAAATTTTAAACCAATACCTGATGAAACCCAGGTTCTCTGGTGAGCGGAACCCCCAGTTCGCTGAAGCAGGCATGAACGCGCTGATCGCTTCCGAAGAAATAAGCGTACCTCTCAAGACACCCGTCAATAACACCGTAGAGGGCCGCCGCCGCCGCGTAGCTGATTGCAAACCCGCCGCCTCCAAAAGCCATTCCGTACGAGTGAATCTCGTCCTGCTCCACGCTCTCCGACGGCGCACCAATATAATATATCTGCTCATGGTCATACTTCCCCAGAACAGCAACCAGATTCTCAGGAAAGAAAACGGTGTCGTCATCCCCCATCACGAACCATCGCACCCCTTCCATCCCCAACCCGTACGTGTCCGTCGCAATCCGAGCCATCCGCGCTGCCGCGGAGTGTTCCGCATACCGATCCGTCCCGGCCGCCAGCACCCGCCAAGGCGGGCTTGCCGCCGACCAATTCGTTTCAATTGGCGCCTCGTCAAGCCACACATAGCCCCGCATCTCGCTCGGCCGCCACCAAACCTCGCTGTACCCGCGACGCCGACTCCACGTGCGAGCTGAGCCACCAATCCCGAAGACGATGTGGGAGAGGTTCGTTGGCTGGAGCGAATCGACGGTGGTGATCGTGGCGCTCTGGCATGAAGACAATCGCCAGTTGTATGGAGCGGATAAGAGAAGGAAGTAGGAGATGAGAGAAACGGAGAAGAGAAGGACCGTGCAGAGGGATGTTTTATTGATTCGTCGGAGGATTCCGGTAATAATTTCCGACTTGAGGAAGTAGGGTTTGCAAACCGGAAGCACTTTTCCCGCCATGTTTAATTCAGGTTAAGGCAGGAAAGGAGATTTTGGGTGGGAATTTGAAGGAAGTTGGGATATCTGGTATTTATCGAGAAAAAAAAAACTTGGATATCCTAGAACTAAAAATTCACCGCATGTCTTTTTTATAATAAGTTTTATAAATATTAATTCTATATATATAATATTTCAGTATTTCTCTGTATTTTATTTAAATTTATTTAAAAATATAATATAAATTCTTAAATTGACTCTGATAAAAATTTAATCAGGTACAAATATTTTTCTTCGTGGTGCCTATGAGAATCGTCGTTGTTCCGTGTGGAGTGGAAGACGAATCCCGACTTTTTCCATAGGACGAAGACAATAACGCTGGTGATTGTGTACTCAATATTTCAAATGATGCCACGTGTCTCTTAGAAAATCAATTGGTTTTGACTTTCTTCCAACGTGTAGAAAAGAGAAAAAGGCGTTATAAGAAAAATTTTATGCAATAAATACTGTTGATTTGAAATTGTACTTCGTACAAAAATTTTACAGAAATTGTATTTAAAAATACAATATTTATTGTCATTTAACATATAGTAAATTTGCCGTGATAAGTATTTTTAGATCCAACGATTCGTGGGAAGAGATGCACCTGATAATATTTCATCTGAACCGTCCGATATTTAATATGCAGGGTGGTATGTCAAAGTTACAGTTAGAAATGTATTCCTTAATAAAGAAGAGGTCACTCTCGATTAATTTTATTAATATTCATGTAGTTACACTGGCTTGATCTTCATAATAGGTAAGGCAAGGGAAAATGAATCCTTGTATCTCTTCAAGATTTAATATAAGGTGTACTATGTTAATTTTAATTTATAGTTAGAAATGCATCCTCCTAACTAAGAAGACTTATTTTAATGAATATTGTTGAGTGTTAGAGAATTTGTGAGAGTATGATGAGAAAGTTTTATGCTTTTACTTTGTATTCAAATTTTATAGACTAACATATTAATGAATAGATTATGAGATTAATGGGTAGAGATAGTAGAGTCGAGAAAGTTTTTACATGAAAACTTCATATAAAAAAATAAAATAAAAAAAAAACCATGAGGAATCCAATGAATAGACTTAGGAGCTCTTTGTACAGTTGAGCTTGTAGACTGTCCTCGTACGATTTTCTAGTTAAAGTCGAGCTTTGAAGCGCCTTCGATCTATGGGAAATTGCCTGGGGATTATTTTGACTCAAGCTCGCCGGAATCCAATTACCGGTTGGATTTGAATGAAGGTATTTGGCTTGGGAAGATTGGAGGATGTTGGAAGAGCTCTCCTACCAAAGCTCTCGGGCAAGGATGGCTTAGAGAGAGAGAGAGAGAGAGAATTAAAAAAAAAAAAAAAGATCCGGTCCTTTGGCTCAACCATAATTTCCCTATTTAAAGCCCTAGACCTATCATGGACGGTCTAGATCGAATATAGGGCTAAATAGAAGAGAATTAGATGGGTTTAGCCGTGATTTGAATGAATGGAGCACTTTAAAAGGTTTTAAATGCATTGAATGGGTTTTAAATTGAACTAAACGGGTCAATTTGACCTAATAAGACTTGGGTTGACCAATTCAAAGCTTGACTTAATCAACTTGGTTAATTTAGATCAAGGATGGTGAGGGATTGAGCCAAAGATTGGGTTTGAATTCAAATTGAGCTCCCTTAGGCTAAATGGGTCAACCTGGGTTGACCCAAGGCAGGGGTCCGAGCCCAATGGGTTGGGTCTGACTCACTGAGTCCGAAAGAGGTTAGAAATTGAGCTAAGGGAGTATGGATTAATTTGAAATCAAAAGGGAGAATGTATGGGTCAATTTGGGTCAACCCGAGTTGACCTGGTCAACCAGGTTGACCCAAGGCGTGGGTCTGAGCTCAAGAGACTTGGTTTGACCCATGAACCCAAAGAAGGTGTCTTGGGACATGGCTTGGTCAATTTGATCAGGTCAGCCTTTTGACCCAATTCTAGGTGAAAATTAAAGAGAGGGTCAACATTGGGGAAGAATTCTTCCAAAGCAATAAGAGAAGTAAGAGACTTCAGCGAGACGGTGAGGAAGGATGCATGAGTGAAAAATAGAAAATAAATGGGTGAAAGAACTTGAAACTTGCCGATTGAATAGAGACTCGACTCGTTTACAATACTTAAAAGGCATGCAAGAATATGCTAGCTGCTTACGGTTATACGGTTTTACATCCTTAGTTTTATTTTTTTTATTTTATTTTGACTGTTCGATTTGCAATCCACGACCACATCATTTGATCCGAGCGATTCTATTATAATCGATAAGTTCACCGGTTATACGATTGAACAAGTGATCCGTCCGATTATTCACCGATTTGATGTTAAGATGCATGGATCTCAATAGAAACCAGACTAGCTATCCCACTTGTTTCTGGTTGAACCGGCCGATCCTTCATGAACCTTGTAATGGTTATACAGCTAGCAAGAATAAAAGCTTACAAAAAATATAGTTTTCCTTTCTCTTGTATAGATTTACTTATCAATGCCACATTTGGACATCAAATATTGAATTTGGATTGTTACTATGATTATAATCAAATTAAAATGAAGTTATAGATGTGGAGGAAACTATTATTCATAAAATATAATGAAGGATTATATTATTACAAAATCATACTTTTAGGATTAAAGAATGTCAGAGCTGTAGTGACATCTTCTATAATAATGGGGCTACTAATCATAACATGATTTGAACCTTAAAAGAATGTACGTGTTTGAGACTTGCACTTTTTTTTTTAGTATGCGGTGATTTGTAATCAGTAATCATTGGCTCAGTAAACATAATTGTCATCCCAGTAAAGGATAACACAAAATCATATTATTTAAAGAAAACCCTGTTAGCCCACCATCATGTACAGGTATGTTAGTTTCTAGCCAACATAAGTAAAATCAGCCTTTACTTATTCTTATTCATGCTACTATCACATTATTTTAATATTATTAGCAACTGACAAATACTCAATCGCATGCTTATATTCATTCACAATATTTGTATAATCAATATGCTCATATAAAAATCTCAAAGTCTCTATTCTATGTAAATCATACAAAACACAATAACTTTTTATTTTACACAATAAAATTATGAAATGATCCAGTCAAAATGTTCAAATTAACCAATATTATAATATATTGGTCCCGAGGCTAACAAAGAGAGAGGTGAATTGGATAACGTTAAAATCAAAGATAAAACTCAAATAAAAATCACCACAGAAAACTAATGCGGAAGAAAATAAATGTGGAAGTAATAATAAGAAAAGAACACACTGGATTTATAGTGGTTCGGTCAAACCTTGACCTACGTCCACTCCTTGGAGGCACCCTCCAAGTGTGGACCTCCGAAGGAGCACCGCTCGCGGGGGTTCGAATGCAGAGGGTACGACCGTACTATCCCGTAGGACAAAACGATCGTAGGCCTCTACGCTCGACACGAACGGGTCGATGAGAGGGCAGATTGGATCGCGCATACGACTAACCATTGGGGATAGATGCTGTCGCCAGCACACCCCGATGGGTAGCAATATACACAACCTAGTCACGGGTTTCCCCCACGTCCAGGCAATCGTCCTGGCCGATCCTATGATCGTCCCGAACGATGTGATCGTATCAATCAGCCATTAATGCTTTCCAAAGATACCAGATCAATTTAGGCATAATTGAGTTAAATCGTCCTTGACGATGTGTATATCGTCCTGGCCGATTTCCTAAAATAATGAATACCTAATCTGATCATGGCGGCTGATTCTTTATGTATTGAGCCTATCGTCCTGGCCGATACAAAATCATCCAGGACGATGTGTTTTGCATAATGACTACTGCTTTAATGAGGATGCCCTAATTAGGGTTTCTGTTTTTAGACAGATCGTCCAGGACGATATAAATATCGTCTCAGACGATGTTATCAAAAACAGAAATTTTTAGGAAGCAACAGAAAATCTTCCAAGTTACAAAACATTAGGAGCCACACCAAATACAATAGACTCAAGAAAGGAAAAAATGTACAAACAGACTCAGACTTAGTCTACCCAATCTTGAGCTGATTCCAAATTGCAATCCGATTGTGTGAACCTGAAATGTTAGTACATAAAGTAGTCGTAGAGAAATAAGAATATTTGCTATCATCAAAATCATAAACCATTGATCCGCAACAGCATATATAAACAATCCTTTCCAAATCGTAGGTTCGTCTTGCAGAGATGTTTAATTTGACTGTAAGTTTGCTGAGATCAGAGTTTGGATTGTTCCTAATTTAATGTTGAAAGTTTCCAACTAAAAAATACATCAAGATTCACGCCCGATCAAGGTGAATTTTGGTTCCGCCACTGCCTATCCCCAATCAAGTCTAAAGAATGTAGAGGTTATTAAGCACAACTGAGATCAAAACAAATAGAAGATATGAAAAATTTGATCCCTTTATCCAGTCATAACAAGCTAGTCAATTATAATACATAAAAAATATCATGGGAGAATAAGAAAGAAAATAGATTAGCTAGTAGTAATCAAGATTGATATAAGTCGAAGAATCAAGAAAATAATATGTAAATGCACTTATTAGACAAAAGAGGTGCCAAAATTCAACCAACCTATTAGTGATGATGAATCATTTAAGGGATATATTTTAGCAGCAACATAATAATAATTTCATTTTGTTTTGTAGAGAGAATTAAATTAGTTGTTTCAAAATTATGATATGTTTAGGAGAAATTTTTAGCAAATTAGAGTCTCCACATGCTTGAGGGGTATGTGGAATCACTGGAGGTCATCTAATTTCATCAGGAGGCGAATCAGGAGGCAGCACGATATTTTTTTGATATGTATCAGTGCTGTGTACCGGGTGATATGACGAATCCTGATTCACCTCTGCACGGTCCGATGACCGCACATAATAATTTCTCTCCTAGCATACCCTTATTTTTAGTAGTTTTGAACATTGAAAAAACAGTTCTTTCATGCAGTGAAATTAGCTTTTTAAATTGAAATCTAAGTATTGGCAACAATCACATGCAATGA